TTCTTCTCGCGTGCCAACTCGTGGGCGCGGTCGTTCATTTCTTTCTCCAAACCGCGTATCTTCTGCGCATTCTTGCGTGGGTCCTCGTCCATCAGCTGCTTGCGCTCCTCCTCCATCGCAGCAAACTTTGAATCATCATCCAGCGGCAGCTCACGCAGTGGCACACCTTCAGGGTTCTGGTCAAGGAACGCACGGTCAGCCTGTTTCTTCTCGCGTGCCAACTCGTGGGCGCGGTCGTTCATATCCTTCTCCAAACCAGCAATCTTCTGCGCATTCTTGCGTGGGTCCTCGTCCATCAGCTGCTTGCGATCCTGCTCCATGGCAGCAAACTGCGGATCCTCATCCAGCGGCAGCTCACTCAGCGGCACACCCTCAGGGTTCTGGTCAAGGAACGCACGGTCAGCCTGCTTCTTCTCGCGTGCCAACTCGTGGGCGCGGTCGTTCATATCCTTCTCCAAACCAGCAATCTTCTGCGCATTCTTGCGTGGGTCCTCGTCCATCAGCTGCTTGCGATCCTGCTCCATGGCAGCAAACTGCGGATCCTCATCCAGCGGCAGCTCACTCAGCGGCACACCCTCAGGGTTCTGGTCAAGGAACGCACGGTCAGCCTGTTTCTTCTCGCGTGCCAACTCGTGGGCGCGGTCGTTCATATCCTTCTCCAAACCAGCAATCTTCTGCGCATTCTTGCGTGGGTCCTCGTCCATCAACTTCTTGCGCTCCTGCTCGATCGCAACAAACTGCGGATCCTCATCCAGCGGCAGCTCACGCAGTGGCACACCCTCAGGGTTGTGGTCAAGGAACGCACGGTCAGCCTGTTTCTTCTCGCGTGCCAACTCGTGGGCGCGGTCGTTCATTTCCTCCTCCAAATCAGCAATCCTTTGGGCATTCTTGCGTGGATCCTCTTCAATCAACTTCTTGCGCTCCTCCTCCATCGCAACAAACTGCGGATCCTCATCCAGCCACAAATCATGCAGTGGCACACCCTCAGGGTTCTGGTCAAGGAAGTTGTACTTCTGTTTTATTTTATTGGCAGCCATGCCGCGTACCATTTCATTGAGGGATTTTTCGGCTGCAGCAATTTCGTCAGTCTTAAGTGGATCTCTTCTAAGACGTCTGAGTTCTTCCTCTTTGCGGAGAAATTCAGGGTCTTCGTTAATAGGGAGTTCTGACAACGGTATGTTGTAGGGATTTTGGTCAAGAAATTGTCGTTGTTCCTCTTTTCTAATGTTGTCTAGTTCCTGAACGCGTTTTTGTAATGCTTCTTCTACTGCATTAATAAGATGTGCATTTTTCTCGGGATCTTCGGCAAGTAGTTGAAAGAGTTTTGTTTCTAGACCTTGAAAAGGAAGGTCCATATCAAGCGAAAGATCTTGAATAGGTACGGACAAATCATGATCAGATACATAACGGTCACGTGATTTTGCCTTGTATTCATTTGCCAACTCTTTGGCTCGTTCATTTAGTTTTTCCTCGATTTGAGCCAGCGCTTTGTCATTAACGGGATCTTTACCTAGTATGCCAAAACGCTTTGTTTCCAGTTCTTGAAAGGTAGGATCCGTATCAAGTGGTAAAAGACTTAGAGGTACTCCTTCTGGTGACGGATGTAGATATCCACGGTCTTTCTTTAGTACTTCCTTAGCCAATTGCAACGCACGGTCATTCAGTAACTTTTCAACTTTTTCAATTTCTGATTTATTTTTCTTTGGATGATGCTTCAAACGAGCACGTTGTACTTCAAGTGAATGAAAGGTTTCGTCGTCATCTAACGGCAACAATTGTACATCAATGTTTAAGGGACGAGGATTAAGATACTGTGGCCTTTCCGCTACGTTAAGCGCCTTAGCTTTGGCATATGCCATGGCATTTAAAGCAGCTTTCATCGATTCTATTTGTTCAGGATCTCGTGTTGGATCTTTAAGTGCATTTCGGAGATCTTGTTCCAACTTCATAAATTCCTTATCATCATTAAGTGGAAGCTCATCAATCAAACGTCCTTCTGGTTCAGGGTCAAGATACGTTGAACGGAACTTGGCCAATTCTTCTGCAGCAATCCTCCTAGCAAGCCCATTTAGTTCATCTTCAAGAGCGGCAATAGCTCGCGCGTTTCTGCCACGATCCTTCCTCAGTTCACGAAGTTGAGCCTCTTTGGCCATGAACTCCTCGTTTGAGTCAAGAGGAAGCTCTGCAAGTGGAATGCCCAACGGGGCAGGGTCAAGAAAAGCACGTTCATCTGCTAATATCTTTGCTGCGAGTTCACGTGCCCTCTCATTCATTGCATCCTCTAGATTCTTAATAGCAGTTGCATTCTTGACAGGATCTTCGCAGAGAAGAAGCCTCTGAATTTCCATATCCCGGAACAGCTTATCGCTGTCAATCGGAACGTTAGCAATGGGAACACCATTAGGCTTAGGATCGAGGAATTTCTTTCGCTCAGCTTGCTTTAATTCAACCGCAAGCTCAGCAGCACGGTCATTAAGATCATCTTCCAAATCACGGACAGCCTTTGCACTTGACTTTGTTTTTTGGTTCTTTAACTTCGCACGTTTTGCCTCTAGAGCCTTGAAGGGACCATCAGTGTCAAGAGGTAGAAGACGTAATGGAACGCCCTCTGGAGCCGGATCCAAGTACGCACGATCATCCGCCAAATGCTTCTGGGCCAGCTCTTCCGCACGTGCATTCAATGCTGCTTCAACATCTGAAAGGGCCGCAGCGTGACGCTTCGGATCACGCTTCAGCTGCTGCCGCTTCGCTTCAAGCTCACGGAACTTCTCATCAGCGTCAAGTGGCAAGTCTTCGAGCGGAACACCCTTGGGGAAGGGCCTTAAATATTCGGGCCGCTCCTTCGCATTAAGTGCACGGGCCATTTCGTGGGCCGCCGCATTCATCTCCTCTTCCAGAGCCTTAATCTTATCGGGGTCACCGCCATTACGCGCCATCTGGCGCCGCTTTGTGTCCATCGCAACGAATGCTTTGTCGTCATCCAGTGGCAAACTCCCCACGAGGCGACCTTCAGGCTCGGGGTCAAGAAATTTCCGATCCAGCGCGGCCTTCTTACGGGCAATATCGTACACCATCTTTGCAAGCTTTTCCTCTAGAGCCTTGATTGCTGCAGCATTTCGCCTTGGGTCTTTCTTCAATTCACGCAGCTCAGCCTCCTTATTCACAAAATCATCATTATAGTCTAAACCAAGTTCATCCAGGGGGAATCCCAGGGGCTCGGGATCAAGGAATGCCCGATCATTCTTCAGACTCATCTTTGCAAGCTCCTCTGCACGCTCGTTCATCCGGTCTTCCAATTCCTTGATACGATCTGCATTTCCTATCGGATCATCCTTGCGGAGTCTCAGACGCTCAATCTCCATTGTATGGAAGGGTTCGTCTGTATCGAGCGGAAGCTCGCTGAGTGGTACACCTCCAGGTTGTGGATCAAGGAACATTTCACGTTCAGTATCCTTTAGTTCCTTTGCAAGCTCGTGTGCCCGATCGTACAGCTGGTCCTCAAGCGAAGCAATTGCATGTATATCTTTTCGGGGTTTACGGTTTAATGCACGTAGCTCATCCTCCATCTTGCTGAACGCTTCGTCTTCATTTAGTGGAAGGAGATCAAGTGGGATTCCTTCTGGTTCGGGATCGAGGTACGTACGTTCTTTTTCATGCATTCGCTTCGCTATTTCATGAGCGCGTTTATTCATCTCCTCCTCAAGCTCACTGATTCTGCTTGCATTGGGAGCAGCATTCTGCTTGAGTTTCATACGTTCTTTCGCCATTTCGGCAAAGGCAGCATCCTTCATAAGAGGTATATCAGCGATGGGAATTCCCTCAGGTTCCGGGTCGAGGAAAGAAAATTCCGGGTCATTTGCGTTTATTCCTGTGGAAGCACTTACAATCCGTGATATACGTTCTGCAGCCCGGGTAGATGGTCTTTGTGATAGATCCCCTGAAAGTTGAGGTTTATATGCTGCAAAATTGTCCAACGTATACTCGTAGTCTAGGTCTTTAAACTCAGGAGCCTCAGTTGGTGGTTCAGATATACGTACATGTGCCTCTTCCATTGCCACTATTTCTACACGTGCAGGTACGGGACCTGTTGCGTGTGGACATGTAATGGAAATAGCGTATTGGCCAGCCCTCGTAATATGGTGAACGATTCCAGTTTCTCGGAAGTTTGTTGCAGATGCAACACCACTTAGTCGATTATAATCAGAATCATACAAGTACATGCCAAGATAATCTTCAGTCATCGCATCTGAGCAGTTGGGAGCGCGATACGGTTTTTCTTGTCGTAGGAGAATATGAACGTCTGTGGGAGTATCTACAATAAAATCTACACGTTCCTTTCCGCCATTTTGTAAAGTAACGTGTGCAATTGCAGGCAAGTGCCTTGCAACATTTACTTTAAGTCGTTCAATGCTCAGAACCTTTGAATCATCCGGATTTGTATACCAATATGATAAAAGAAATTTACTCTGTTCATGAAACATGGCACTTGGTACAAGGTATCCAAAAAACCTTGGTGGAAGTACAATAGTACTTGATACTTCACGGGAATCCATATATAGCCCTTTAACGATCATGCGGTGGTTGTTTGCAGTCACCAAATACGTTGGTATTTGGGTGTTATCTACGTTCTGAGAAAGAACCAAACCACACTGAATATAGTTTAGCTCTCGATCATGAAGATGATGGAGCATATGTCGCTGATCGGGTTGACAAATCAGAGCCATTATTTGCAGTGGTTCATCCGAGTTATTTCTCACAACATAGAGTGGATTCTCACGCCATGTCACGAGGGTAGGGTTGCCGCCATTAGTACCCTCACCCCACTCACTGTTGAAGTGCCAACTGGACTGTACCAAACCACGAATAAATACCTTTACAATATTAGAAAAGGCATCACAGAATGCTTCAACAGGCATGTAGATTACACCACGCTCTTCTGGAACAAGTGCAGAGCGCAATTCCGGAGTCCAACGACTGTCTTCGTTATTCATAGGTCCTGTATACACAGCCTCTACAAATGGATTATGTAGCTTCACTAGTAACTCTGAAATTAAAGGTTTGGGTTTATTTACAGTTGATACAACACCAAGAAATGCATATCCTTGATTTTCATGCAATCCAATATGATCTCCAAGACCTGTACGCGTAACTGCTCCATAAGCAGAATTTTTGACATCGTTGTTTAATTCAAGCCAAAAGTCTGGCTCATCAACGTCGTACATGGCAGACTTCGCAAGCTTCACATCAGTTGGAATACTCACCACTGGTTGACCGGTGAAGTCATGATACACCTCCTGCAGTGTGCAACCCTCAATATTTTGGTACAATGTGTAAAACTTGGCGTATGCCTTTTCTAGCAGCAAAGGCCACCAGTGGCGAGTAGGCGACCGGCAGAACAACGTCTGTCCATCTATCAGGGGAATTCGGTCATCGATCTCCACCTTTACCCATTGTCCATAACGGTGAAAGCGGAAGGTGTAACGACCGTCCTTTCGAACAGCCTTCGACACAAACGCATTGCGAATCACATCGGGGTGGTGATCCACAAGAGTTGCGAAGGCAGTGAGACAACAGCACTCAAAATGTTCACCTTGCTCAAACTGTTCTCGGCTAAGAGTCTCGGGTACAAGTGGTAGTGTCTTACCCTCAGGGTACAAGTCACCAATGTGGATCCACGGATCATTTGTAATAATTTTGTTGTCAACCATGAATCGTTTGTCTTCAAATGGAATTGCGCTGTCAGGCACCTCCGTTATATGTGCAGGAGGGATATTAATGGGTGTATAGTCAATTGGATTCACTTTGGCTGTGACATCATCTCCTTCATCAATTATATCCTCATCATCAAACATACCTGCATCCTCTGGTGGTTCTACTTCCCGAACCTTAGATGTTTTACTTGCAACGATGGTAATTTGTGCGGGAACAGTGCCTTTACCACGAGGGCATGTAACAGATATAGCATAGCGTCCACTTCGGGGAAGATGATACAAGATACCAGTCTCACGGAAGTTAGTTGCGGCATGTACACCACCAATCTTACGATCTGTATCATCATACAGGTACATACCCATATAATCCTGTGCCATGGCATCTCCTCCCGTTTTAGGACTTACATAGGGTTTTAACTGATGCATCAGAACATGGACATCTGTAGCTTCTTCAACATAAAAATCCACTCTATCCTTCGTACGTACCTGAAGTTCAACATGTCTTACGGTCGCATGTTCCCAATCCATCAAAGGTATGTACACCTTCTCAAAATGAAAATTACTGTAGTCATAATTTTTCATTCGGTAAATAGCTACTGTAAACTTAGCCTCTGCCCCTTTCGTCATGCAGGATGGAACAAAGTAACATAGAGAACCTGGCGGTATTGTAACGGCGTTAGCAACTTCACGAGAGTTGAGGAAAAGACTTTTGTGAATCGTCTTATGATTGTTTCCTGTAACAAAATAGGTTAAAATGGGTCTAGCGTAAGAATACTGAACTACAATCAGCCCGCACTGTTTGTATTTCAAATCTTCATCCTGCTGAGTCCATTCATGACGCTGGTCCTCTTGTTTAATCATAGCAACAAACTGAATAGGTTCTGTACCAGTGTTTCTGACGTAATACAAGGGATTCTTACGCCAAGTGACACTGGTAGGGTTTCCACCTGCAGTTTCACCTTTCCATTCATCATCAAAGTAAGTCGCATCTGCTTCAAGAGGTGAAATATAGCAGAGCTGCATAGAGTTTACGAACTTTAGGAACAGATGCAAGGGAAGGAATATGGAACGCTCATCATCCACATTGTACTTAGCTCGCAGTTTCGGGGTCCACTGCGAATCTTTGCTGTTCAATGGTCCTCTGTAAATAAACTCCTCATCTTCAAAAGGATTGTGGAGATGAACAACAATATCTTGCACAGATGATGTACCAGTAAGGGAAAACACCTCAAGAATGCCGTACTGTTGCTCGCGCTGTAATCCCATACTTTCTATCTCCATGTCCCTTGTCAGGACAGAGGCAACAAACTGGCCAGATTGAATCTTCTGGGCTAATTCAAGCCAGTAATGACCCTCTGTCACTTCAGCTCCAGCGGCCTTAGCAAGTTTTGGATCCATGGGAATGTTCAATACAGGTTTACCAGTCAGATCATAATACGCCTCCTGTAGTGTGCAACCTTCAAGGCTTTCATAACCAGTGTAAAACTTTGCGTATGCCTTCTCAAGAAGTAAGGGCCACCAATGTTGCGTAGGGGAACGGATGTAAAGCACCTCATCTTCATCCAGTGGAATGTAGTCGTCAATTTCTACTTTCACCCACTGTTTACCACGAAAGAACTGAAAAGTGTAGCGCCCGTCTCGACGTACATTCTTGGAGACGAAGCAGTTCTGGATCACGTCGGGGAAACGGACCAGAGTTGACAGGGCTGTAAGCATAAAGCACTCATAGTGGTTGCCCTGGCCAAACTGCTCACGTGAGAACTCAGGAGGAAGAAGAGGTTGGTTCAAACCGTTTGGGTAAAGTTCACCAATGCGTATCCATTGGCTTGAGATATGCTTGTTCTTTTCCATAAATATGGTGTCATTGAACACCTTGTTGCTGTCTGGTGTTTCTTCGGAGCTCTGAACAGTCATTTTTTTGTTTGTTTGTTTGTTTTTTTTTTTTTTTTTGTTTTTTTTTTTTTTTTTTTTTGTTCTTGTTGTTCTTGTTTTTGGTAGGGGCTACTATCTACTAAACAATGGTTAGAGCTGATGACTGAATTTCTGCGTTCGCTCTCTTTCTTTCTTTCTATTAGACTTATTAGAGAAAATGCGGAGAATAAGTTATGTTTATTATATTTTTTTAATACAAAATGAAAGAAAAACAATAAAAACCATTAACAGCATGTTATTATTAACGAGTTTTTTTTTTTTTCG